GTATGAGTAAATTATGCCTCTGATATTTATGTTTGCAAACTTTGTTTTCAACAGTATTTTTATTTAACCATATTTAATAGCCAGTATATGTATAGTTTAATGCCAGGTTTTGATAATATTAGTAATAAGGATATTCAGACCTATGTACTATTTGAACATTATCATTTTTATAATTTTCAGTAAATGGAGCTCGTACTAGTTGTTTGTGATTTATTTTTGTAGGGCTCAGTAGCTCTACCCCATATTCAATTTCATTTTTTTATTATGACTATGCAGATATATATTGATATTTTTCTGTCATTATGAATACCTATGATTGGCATGATAAGATCATATTATAGTTTAGATTAGATAGAAATAGATGGATTTTTGCCAAATTATAGCATGTTATTAGTTGAGACAATAGTTTGGATATGCATGAATCAAGTTATTCACTCTGCTCTGCCAGAGATGACTTGAAAATAGAGGGATGAATTTAGAAGATTGCTAGCTTTGCATGATAAACAATAAAATATATTTCTAATCAAAAAGGAATTACCTGCTTCAAATTGAAATAATGATAATGATATTGATATTGGTAATAACATTGATAATTATAAAATGCAATCCTCTTAATTAAATGACAAGAAAGAATCGTTATGATGCGAATCTAATTTTCATTAATATAACTTTATAATTTCACTAAGAAGAGCCACAAAGTATTTTTACGTAAATGTTTATGTGTAATGATAAATAGATTTTGGTTTTGTCAAGAAACTGAAAATAAAGAAAGGGAAATAAATAAAAGTTTAGCTGGTAGCTATTCTGTAACAAGGGATTCCTTTCTAATACTTATGTGTTATATGTACACATGCAAGGTACTTTAAGAGAGGTAGCACCATTCCATCTCGAAAATCCTAGTTAGCAAGTTCTGAGCTAATCCCTGTCGCTTTGCCATCGTTTTATTGTAAATATTAACAGGGTTTTTTATCTTTATTGTAGGTTTTGTTTCTGATTGTTTTTTTCATAAATGTCATTATTGGATTATTAAAAAAAATAATAATAAATAGATAAATAAAAAAATACAAGGTAATCTGGGCAAATCATTGGTGGAGCTTATGATGTCATCCAGTTTACTAGTGAAGGTGTGCCAGAAGATAGCTAAATACTTAATTATGTATATAGTTTGATATTGTTATGATTCCTGGAAATGATAACAAAAAGTCTACTTTTTATTTATGACAACAAAATGTTCCATACTGTAAATAGCCATCAGAATACTTTAGGGAAAAGTAAATTAAATTTTTGGGTTCAATAGGCTAAATAGAAGTGGTGCTACCTGTCTTACTTGTACCTTGTACATATGCACCAATAATGAAATATGTACATACACCACTATCTACTACTTGGATATGTGGAAACTTACATGCAAGCATACATTAACAAGAAATATGTTAGAACATCCATGTATAAACACACACACATAGTTATACATGCAGAAAAGGTATGAATAATTATGAATATCTTCTCAATATATGATAAGTATTTGACTGGTTTAAATGTATCTTCATTAGAAATACATGTATATCTGACGAAGATATTCATTCTCATGCATACCTTTTCTACGTTTGTCAACATAAATATGATTCATAGTAACACATGTAAACACACACTTTAATATACAGAAATAGATAGACACATAAATATACACAAATGCTTACACAATCATGCTCACACACATTCCAACACAAACGCTTACAAGTACACACACACACACACACACACACACACACACACACACACACACACACACACACACACACACACACACACACACACACACACACACACACACACACACACACACACACACACACACACACACACACACACACACATACACACACATACACACACAACACACACACACACACACACACACACACACACACACACACACACACACACACACACACACACACACACACACACACACACACACACACACTTAAAATTTTAAATATGTACCTTGTTACATGTAATTTCAACTTGAAATTAAAGAATTGTAGGTTGCGTTGATACTAGCCTGACCTCTTTTCCCTTTTCTTAGGTAGTGATAACATTTTACTGCAAAGCATTATTTTGTATTTGCCTGAGTATGATATTTTTCAATTTATATTCCAAATATGAAATGTATAACTTGTTCTTACTCATCCAAGATAGTTTGTCTCATTTTAGTCATGTATCTAACAAAAATATTCATAGATATTGAATAGAACCTTATATTTAGATTAAATATATTTAAACATCATTGTCAAATTTGTTTGCAGAATGTACTTTGTAAAACTGATGTTAGAATTGAATCACCAGTCAGTCATATCAATATTAGTATGTTTTCTTCTCACCATTCATATGTTTATTGGGAAGTCATTCTCTTATCATTCTCAAGATGAAAGAATAATAGTTCACCTTGTCATTCCAGCAGATGGAGGCATGCGCTGCGGTGATGATGGCTCAGTTGTTCACCAACTGCAGCGTGCAATGGACCTGGAGGAGACTGATAAGGATACTTTGCATCTCCTGGTTTTTCTCTTCATGCAGTTCCTGTCACAACCTCAACATGTAAACTTAATTAGTATTCTTTACAGTTAGTCAAAGAATTACATAAGCTCTCACTTTTTTATTTTTTATTTCTCTAATGATTTCTTAATTGTTTGTCATATTGTCATTAGTAACCGGTTTGTATTTTATTATGACTGAGTATGAATTCTTGACTTTTTTTTTTTTTTTTTTTTTTTTTTTTTTTTTTTTTTTGTCAGGTTGGAGGTAATGAGGATAAAGGAAGTGTAAAAGTGATGAATCTTGTCTTACGGCATTTGTCAGTGCTAATGGGCTTCAGTCCACAAGAGCGTTGTTTCTCCATATCACCAGCAAGACTCAGGTATGCTTGCGGTAGTTTATAGTAGTGATATCTGTATCATAGATTCCTAGCCTGGTACTTGCAAGTGCCACTGTGTTCTCTGATGGTCTCACAGTGCTCTTACACAGTGGTTAAAAGTGTTCCTGTTAGTGCCAGCTCTTTGTAGGTCAAACTACTTTGTAAAGTATTTTGAAATTTTCATATATACAGAGCCATACTGGAATCTCTACTATTTGCATCCAGTTTTATGTAAAATTGGCTTTTTTGTCACTTTTCTCTTATTACTCCTAAGTCCTTATCCCATATCCACAATATCTAAACATATGTTTATAGCTGATTGTAAAAAGCAGTAACACCAGGCATTTTCATCTAAATCTGATTAATTTGAGATTGTAATTAAAGAACTGAAAAATATATCAAAAGGAGGTATGATCTTTTCAAGAGTAGAAATATAGGTTATTGCCATATTTTCTCACCAATTTGAGTGATTCTCAGTTTTAAAATTATGAAATTATTTCAGTTATAAGTACTCTATTGGGAGAGATAACTACAGTCAAATGCACAGACAGTCCCACCAGTAAATTCTGCTTTTGCACATTTGCAATTTGTTTATATCAAATCTCTCTAAACCTTTGGAAAGAAACAAGCCGTTACCATTTACCTGTATTTGTGATCTGTCTGTCACATTGACCCAGTAGAAAATTTACCTTAAACTTTTAATTTCTAATCCCCCCCCCCCCTTAGAAATAGCATGAAGAAATCAGTACCAGATTAAAAGATAAACACTTCTGGAATTTTTTTTACTCAAATATTTGACTTTCTTTTTGCTCTCAAGACAGTTCTTCCAGAGTACCTTTGATTTTTGTATTTAGTACGGAGAGTCAAAATGGAATCATTTTCCCAGGCTGTTTTCATTTTTACCCCCACATAAAGATTGTCCCCATATTTATGATTTTTATTTTAGTGAGGCTTTACAATCTATCTGAGTTGCGCTGTATTTATTTGTAATTCATATCAGAGCTGTGGATTGTTTTTTATTTCACTTTTTCAATATATTCCAGATCATCTCCAGTGTTCAATGCTTTTCTGTCCAACTTGCCTCACGTCTTGGATCATAACTTCTGCATGGGAATATCACTACTTCCTTCATGTTTGCCAGTGCTGCAGTTCTGTGCTGCACCTCACAGAGTGGTTGACCTTCGCTATCCAACATTCAGTTTGTGGGGTCTCCAGCCTCATGCAAGAAGATGCTGGCTCAAATCAGTTCTAACCCTCTTGTATAAAGTAAGAAAGTATGACATGATCTAAGTATCTGTAAGTAAATACGTCTCAGGTTGTAGATCTTAAGGCTAATTTTCAGATTTTCAGATTCAGATTTTAGTTGATATCAAGCATTCATAGCCTGTTACCAGTGGGTTGAAAGTGAAAGATAGCTTATTTTTTTAGCAGTTCTAAATTCACTAGAATAAATGTTGAGGTTACTCTGTATTTATTCAGTCTAATAAATTTCAGTATGAATACAGTCAACACCCTCTATCAGGACAAGCGCTATCTTTGGTGCGTATTGTTCTTAATACCATAGAAAATCACTACCACCGCTGTAGGAAGGTTGATGATCCAACCATGTGTGCAGCCAGTTCAGCATACTCAAGAGGCAAGTCTTTTCCTATAATTATGATAGTTTTGTCCTATGATAGAATACATTAAAGCTTTGATTTTGAACCTAAATTAGTATGTTGATATTTTCAAAAATTATTATTATTTCCCCTCCACTCAAAAAACAGAAATTGCTGTCTTTATTTTATTTATTTATTTTTGTTTTTATTCTTTTTTAAAGAAGTAAGTAAATCTGTGTGGATGAATTTTAAACCTCAACTTTGTGTAAAATCCGTATTCCACTGAAGCATTGGACTCTCTAGCCTGATTGCCTAAAAACAAGCTTATATAACAATATTCGGATGGAATTCAAGTACTGTTTGATGAATTTAAGTTTGAATTTGCAATGGACTTTTTGATTTGTTGAAAAATGTCAAATGTAGTAATTACACCTCTTTTTCACAGAAGTGAGTCAAGGCTCGATTGGTGGTAATGAAGGGGATCA